GATTTTACTACCATTCGATTCGTCTTGATGAGCTGATTCCAATGAGCTATAGATCGTCTTGATTGGATCAGTAGATAGTGAGATATTCTTAAATTACTATAATTATTCAAATTTAAGAGCGTAAACTTTTGTAATATTACGTTTTTAGTGTAATATTTCGAAATTTTACATCACTTTCGAAATATTACACTAAATTACGCCTAAACAAATTTCCTGATGATGCCATCACAAAGAAAGAAAAGGCAAAATAAAGTTATTAGTAAAAAAACTATTAGTAAAAAAGTTGTTAAATAACATCGCAGCTCATATTCTGTTGAGTAAAAGAAACAGGTTGTCACTTATGCTAAGGAAAATAGACTGGTTAAAGCAGCAAAATCTTTTGAACTTGATAAAGATATGGATAGTCACTGAGTTAACTTAAACGAAAAATGAATAAATGAACTAAACCAAAAAAGCAAACAAGTTAGTTCTGGTTAAAAATATTTTTACTCAGAAGCTGAAAAGGAACTCTATAATTGGATTATAAAATAAAGGAAACAGGGATTAGGTATCACATATACAATTGCACAAGTTAAAATAATAGATATTTTAAAAAAACTTACTATAATAAGTTTTTATAGAAATTCAACAAATGAATTTAAAATATCAAACTGCTGGATGTTCGCATTCATGAAAAGATATAATTTATCTCAGCGGCGGCAAACTAATGTTTTACAGAAGCTTCCATCACAAACTAATGAAGCATTAAAAAACTTCCAAGAGTTTATCATTCGCCTTAAAACTGAAAAATTATTTGAGTTATCCAATATTCTTAATATAGATGAAACTCCTATATGGTTTGACATGGCAGGAAACTTCACTATTGATAGGATCCCAGATATCTCCAAAACAGGTTATAAGTCACACTTTTGGTCAAACATAGGCTGATGAAGCATTATCGACTAAAAGTAAGATTTTTTTATCTTGCACTCTGAAATATCCATCTATTTCACGCAAAACCTCCTCAAAAACTGACGAGTTCATCTATGCTTTAGGGTTACCTCGATAGTAGACAAGAAGGCGATTCAAGTTAACCTTCGAAAGAGGTCTTGGATGCTTTGAATTGCCAATTAACCACGGTTTTAACTTATCAGTTCCTGTCACGTTAATGAAGAAGAACAGTAACTCGAGATTTATCCTTTTTTCGACCGGAAATTGGTTTTGTCGAGAGTGTTTCACTTGGGGACATACGATAAAAAAGGCCCTAAGGAATAAAAAATAAAAAAATTAATTTTTGTTCACAAAATTCATAACACACGTCCCTAAATTGCAATTAATTTCCTAATTATGCATTATGCACGTGTTCAATCGGAACTATGCAGTTGATTGATATAAAATATTCTGCTATATCCGATTAACATTTTTTTAACATCTTTTCATTCAATAAAAAAAGATAAAACTTACTGTTTCATCAATATTGTAGATACAGTCAGGAGAGTATCAGCCCAAAATTTCTTGCAACCTTGCTCGCTCTTCTGGAAGAGATGCTAAAAGTGCACTCCCTAATTCTCCGTGTATACGGTACTTACGAATATTATTACGTTTTTTAAACTTATGCAACCAACCATTAGAAAAAGACAAATCTTCTTCTTGGATATTAAAGGCTTCTGCAAAGATTTTTGCTTTTTCTTTTATTAACAAATCTGTTAATATTACACCACCAGCTGTTACGTTTTCCACCCATAGACTCATTGCATGCTCAAGAGCTGGAAACTTAACCTCTTTATGTCTAAAAGTTTGAACTGAATATTCATTATTTATTGTTTTCTACCTGTCACTTTGTAACAGAATCTTTGAAATTGTACTCCTTTCAATATTCAAGTTGGAGTACTTTTCATTGAAGTGTTTGGCAATCTCTTCATGTCTCTTGCTCTTATTTGCTGTTGACCACTCACATATTTGATGTTTAACATCATCACTTATAGCTGAGCGGCGTTGTTTTGGTTTGAATCTAATAGGAGGCATAGTGGAGAGAGAGATGGAGAGTTTTTGTGTCTTTCGTGTTAAGCGATTATCTATTGCTGCGGATTTATATGATTTAATTATATTACAATTGACACGTTACCAAATCAAATTGATGCACCAATAAAAATTATGTGATTATGAGAGGTTTTTTTACTAATAAAAATAACATGCATGTTAAGGATTTTGTGTGATAGTGATTATAGCTGTTATGGAGGTAATTTAATAGTGCTAAAATCCGTTTTACAAAAATAGGTACTTATAAAGAAGTGTGACTACATAGGGTGTGATTTTACAAAGGCCTGACTGTACATCTTAATAATAAATCAGGTTTAATGTCTTTCAAATTTTCCAAAATATATTTAACTTAACATAGTTCAAAATTTTTACAAAATGATAATTTCATATTAAATTTTCTAATATTGGCTTAATGTTTTATTATTGGGTTGTAGAATTGTACAGATATTTTCTAATCATTAACTATATAACCTTATATTTCACTCAACAAGTTTTCAAAATTTTTATTTTCTTCAATTTCTATAGCATCTTCTTGTAACAATTTATTGTGTTCATAAATGGCAACAATAAAATACATTATGATAACAGAAATAGAGTTAAAGTTAAGTTCATTAAAATTGAATCACTGGATGCTGAGATATTTACAAAAAACGATTTTTGAGTTTTAGTAAAAAGGGTGTTTTTGGCCAAAAGTCTATTATGACTTTTATATTAGATATCTGGAGTTCTAGTTAACAATAAAAAAAGATTCAAATATAAATCAAATTATGTGATACATGATCTAATTTATCATATTTGTACAAAGCGTATTACTTAATGAAACTATTAAATCATATACACCAACCTGCCAAAAGTATCCGGACACCTCTAAAAAATGACCATTAAATCACATTATTTCGACGTCCAGTGATCAGAATTTAATGATTTATGATTCATTGGATTCGTCTAATTGAGACGCATCTAACCGCAGTATTTTCAAGTCTGTAAGATCAATAGATCAGAAGTTATTGCGGAATGTCTAAAAATAGTAAAATGCAAATAACTTTTGATCCATCAATTCTAGAGACATGAAAATAATAGATACCATGTATCTTAACAAGACAAATCTAATGAATCATATTTCATCTTTCTAAGTTCAATAGAAAAGAAAAAGTTTTGAAATTTGTATATGTCAAATTTTTAAAAATGAA